GAATTGCAAGAATACCAAATCTCAAAGGGAACAGCAATTTATATGGCATGAGAGGAGAATGCTGATTGGTGAGTAAATGGACTATGATTGGTAAAAGCTTTGCCAGGGGGAATGCACCAAGAACAGCAAACAAATTTCCCACATGGCTTAAGAGGGGAGAGGGCACGTGGCGAATAAGGACATAAAGGCAAATTCAGAAAAAAAGGAAAATTCTGCAGATCTGAAAATGTTGAAAATCCACAGCAGGTTAGGAAGCATCTGTACAGAGGGAAACAGAATTGTAGGTGTGTCTGGTGAAAGGTTACTGACCTAAAACATTGACACCACAGTGTCTTCCTGAGTCAGTTAGAGGATAATTGCATTCTCCAAAGGCACAGGCCAAGTTAGGATCAAGCAGCTTTTCTATTTGAATTACACAAGTTTCAATGTGTGAACTCAAAGGCATTAATTACAGTGTGAAAATGTTTAGGTTTTTATCTTTAGGAAAGATATGACGGCTTTAAAAGGATTTTGATAAGGTTCACAAGAGTGGTTGCGGGGTGAGGAACTTCATTTGCGCGGATAGACTGGGGGGTGGGTGGGACTGTTCTCTGCAGAGAAGAGGAAGAAAGTGGAGGTGTTCAAAATCACAAGGGTCTGAAATTGTTCCCATTGGCAACAGGGTCAAGAGCCAGAGGAGGCTCATTAAAGGTGATATGTAAAAGAAGTAATAAAAAATTTAGAAAACCCTTTTTACACAATGAATGATTAGGGGATCTGAAAAGCATTGCCTGAGAGCATGGAAGCAGCTTGAATTGAGGTTTTTGAAAAAGAATTTGATAATTATCAGAAAAGAATACAATTGCAGCGCTGCAGCGAGGGATGAGGGAGTGAAACTGTCTGTGCTGCTCTTACAGAGGGGCCAACATGGATTCTATAGGCTGAATCGCCTCCTTCAGTGTTGTAACCATTCGATGATTACACGCTCCTATAACAATAACTTATTTATTTGAATTTTACTACCCTTGCCCTCTCTCCCTTGAATTCACTTTGACTCTCTCACCTCCAATGAGACTCTTAACATCTATCACTCTGACTGAGCTGTCAGTCTCCCTTTGAATACTTCTTGTCTGATCACGTCTTTGTGAACCATTAGTACAAGCTGTTCCTGTTTTGTCTGTTTAGATGGAGTAGGATGTTCCTGATAAAATAACTAAACAATACCTTGGAATGGAGCACCAACAACACCATTCACATTGGGTTTTAAAGGATGTAATAATTAAAGAGAAAGATTTAATAAGCTGCGATATTCTCCACATCTCATATCTTGAAATTCAGCAAATGCTATGCATGGTTCTCAGAAAGCATTGCTTAACTTTCTCCTTGTACAGACAGTTGAATCCATCAACCATGGGTATATCCTTCACCCAACTTGAAATGAAGACCCTCTCAATGATAAAAGCAAAATACTGTGGATGTTAGAGTTCTGAAATAAAACACAATGTCAAACTCAACAAGAGAGAGGAGCAGAGTTAATATTTTGAGCCCAATGACTCTTCTTCAGTTTCTTGAAATGTTAACTCTGCTTTTCTCTATCCACAGTTGCTGCCAGACCTGTTGACCCTCTCAATGATGATGTGTACAATATGCCTTACCTATACCGGAAACTTTAGATACCCAAAATTCCTATTTCGGGGCATTAAATGATGTCGTCTGCTGGAGCTCATTAGCTTATCCTCCCTACCTTCTCCTGGCATCTCTCAACCTCCTTTGCAAGCACCACTATAGTCAATCATCTGGTCTAAACCACTGTCAGCAGAGATGACTGAGTAAAGATGATGGATTTATGCACTGTTACACCATATACTTAGCACACTTGTAATTCGACAGTTGCTTTTGTTCGTTATTCTTCTTTCATGAGATGTGAAGTGAATGGATTGTTAGGCCAGTTCAGCAGTTAGGCTCAAATACAGGCCAGACCAAGCCAGAAAGGCAGAGGTTTCCCCCCAAGGGACATTATTGATGGGTTTTTACAACTATTGCAATGGTTGTCATGGTAGCCATTGATTTATATTTCACATTTATTAACTAAATTTAAAGTCCATCAGCTGCCATGTTGGAATTTCAAACAGTGTTCCTGCAGCATTACACTGGGCCTCTAAATTACCAGTGCCAGTGCACTCCCGTGACATCACTGTCATCTGTGCCCCTCTGTGCTTGATGTTCGGGTATCAGATTGAATGTAACCATGTAGAGTCACAGAGTCATAGAGCTGTACAGCAAGGAAGCAGACTCTTCAGTCCAACTCATCCATACAGACCGGATATCCTAAATTAATCTAGTCCCATTTGCCAGCATTTGGCCCATATCCCTTTAAACCCTTCTTATTCATGCACCCAACCAGATGTCTTTTAAATGTTGTAATTGTACCAGCCTCCACCACTTCCTCTGACAGCTTATTCCATACCTGCACCACTTTCTGCATGAAAAGTTGCCCCTTAGGTCCCTTATAAATCTTTCCCCCCTCACCTTAAACTATGCCCTCTAGTTTTGGATTCCCCTACCCTGGTGAAAACACCTTGGCTATTCACTCTATCTATGCCCCTCATGATTTTATAAACATCTATAAGGTCACCCCTCAGCCTCCGACGCTCCAGGGAAAATAACACCAGCCTATTCAGCCTCTTCCTGTAGCTCAAACCCTCCAACCCTGGCAACATCCTTACAAATCTTTTCTGAACTCTTTCAAGTTTCTCAACATCTTTCCTATAGCATGGAGACCAGAACTGAACACAATATTCCAAAAGTGGCCTAACCAATGTCCTGTACAGTGCAACATGACCTCCCAACTCCTATACTCAACATACTGACCAATAAAGGCAAGCATACCAAATGCCTTCTTCACTACCCTATCTACCTGCAACACCACTTTCAAGGAACTGTGAACCTGCACGTTTTGTTTGACAACACTCCCCAGGAACTGATGGAACTGATCACACCAAGGTGTCTGAGGGAAGCAGAAATGTTGCTTCTCCAAATGAAGTGATGTGACCTGTACCTCATCAACACTATACATTTTTTGAATGCATGTTGACAGTTCTCTCGCTGAAGACCCTCCTCAGAGATCAGATTTCACCATTTAAGCACAGCCACAACCAACTGTCTCCTGTCGTCCACTCTCACCGACAGTTCAATGGCCTTCCCAGAGGTGTTACAGCTCATTCTTCCATCAACTCACCTTCAGATAGATTCTTTTTGTGTTAAAAAGAACTGTGCAAATAAGATCTGACTTATTATAAGACAAGTAGAAGGCATTGTCATTGATATCATATTTGTAAAGTCAGTAAATGGCATCTGAGCCAGATAATGCACAATAAATCTGAGCAAACTATTCATTCACTTTTATCCATATGGACCAGAAAAAAAGGCTTGAGTCTTTGGCAGTTAGGAACCCGATCAGGGTCAGTGGGTGGCAATGGATAGATTATTATTTATTTTGGCACTACATACCTGGGGAGGTTTCTGAAGTCTAGTTTGGATGGTAATTGTCTGATTGACAGGAAGAGCTGTACTTTCAGGCTCAAGTGATCAGACATTTTGTGTTTGAGAGGCAGACAGCCAACGGTCAGGGTTTGTAATGCCTAATAAGGCTGTGCAACAGAGTTATTTTCAAGCATATTAAGGAGGAGACTGGAACTTGCTAGGTTTGCGCAGTTTATTGCGACTGAGGAGCAGCTGCAGGTAGGATGCTTTCAATTTCTTTTCACCTGGCTCTTTTTGAACATTGCCTCACAGCTTCTCATTATAATTTACATGTGGAGTGCTTGCTTCACAATATGAAGCTGTATGCATTTAGAAAAAAAAAGGCTGTAGCAGGTTTGAGGACAGAAAGAATTGGCCCCTATTTATTCACATAATACGGAGACTCCCAGTGCTACAGCGGGCTAACAAATTCCATTTGAGATGTAAGTTGTTAATCCAGGGGCTTTGGACATTGCCCAGCGATCACCTAGCTGGAGCTAACATCCCACTGGTCCCAGAGTTTGAATCCCCATATAGCCTGATGGGGAAATTGAATTCACTCAATCAATCCAGGAATCCTGGAATCTGCTGGATTCCCTGTTAAAAGCCCAACTGATCTAGGCATGGCCCTCAGGGACAAGTAGACAGGTTCAGTAGTCAGCTCATGAGAATGATTCCATGGATGAGGGATTTTAGTCATGAGGATTGAACTGGAGAAGTTGGGACTGGTTTATTTCTCTGGGGAGAACTGAGGGAGTTCTTAAAAATCATGAGGGGCCTGGACAGAGTGGACAGGGAGAAACTGCTCCCAACTAGTGGGAGGATCGCGAATAAAACGACACACGTTTAAAATAATTGGCAAAAGAAACGAAATAGCTACCTGCAAACAATTTTTTAAAAAAATCTTTTTCCTGCGGGACAGGATAGGGCTCCTAAGGGTCTGGTGCAGGCTGGTTCAATTGACAGTTTTAAAAGGGAACTGGATTGTTCTGGAGGGAACAAAGAGAAAGATTGTGTAGGGTTACGGAGGGGAGCAGGATTGAGCGAGTTAGTAGAAGCGGGGAGGTGGAGGAAAGAGCTGACACAGAGACGATGGGCCGAACGGTCTCCTCGCGCGCCGTAACCATTCCAAGAGCGGGTGCTAAGCAGGATCCCAGAGACTTTGATGACAAGGTGCACTGTCTGAGACAAATATTTTGGCCAGCACGTCAAGAAGCCAGAGCTTTACGCACTGATAGCCCTCCCCCAACCCTCATGCGACGTGGCGGCTGTGGGATCTCTCTGTACCTCGCCGATTGTACGTGTTACAGCCAGGGTTGCAAAAGTTGTCATCAGCCTGCCTGTGCACAGCAATGTGTTAAAACTGCAGAGCGCAGTGTATGAGACTCCAGTGATTGTCAGATACAGCGAATGTGCACTGGTAAGGGAGGGAGAGAGAGAGAGGGGTGGGGGGGATAGCAGGAGAGGCTGATCCTGAAACACTGGCCAGCCCCAGGCCAGGGCTACAGGAGAGCAGTGCCAGGGCAGAGTGTCTGTCCCCTCCAGGCAGCTATATGCATCCCAGACAATATAGAGGAAGACCAGACTGAGCAATGGATCTTTTTTTGAAGGGTTCTGAGGCTCATTCTGCTGGAGTGTCCATCCAGAGGGAGAAAGGGTGAGTGTTTGGGGAGACGGGGAGTGGGGGGTGGCTTTAAGAAGTTCCCAAAGTGTTTGCTCTTCCACCTTTTTTCCTGGTTTTCTCTGATCTCCACTTCCAAAAAAAAAACTCCAGGAAGAAATTTAAGAAAGGTGCCGGGGCGGGGTTGTCGCTTTCTCCTTTCAGTCATTCCCTTTCTGGAAGAATAAACCAGCCCCTGGGGAATTGATTTCCCGTTGTTTAAAAACCCGGGCAGATTGGAGCAGTCCCAGGGTTTGGACCCTCCCTGTACAGCCGAGCCGCTCCGTCCTCACTGTTCACAGTGACAGCAGCCTGGCCAAAGCCCGGTCTCTAGCACACCCGAGCGCCTGGCCCTTCCTCATCGCTCACATCTCCCGGTCCGAGATTCCAGCACTGACCGAAACCAGAGCGGCTCAGGGAGCGGGTGTGAGGATGCAGTGTGCGTTGTCAGTGTGTGTACACACAAACCCTGGGCTGTCAGAATGTGTACACACGGTCTCCAGGCTGTCACTATGTGTACACACAAACCCAGGGCTGTCAGAATGTGTACACACGGTCTCCAGGCTGTCAGAATGTGTACACACAGTCTCCAGGCTGTCAGTGTGTGCACACACAAACCCAGGGCTGTCAGAATGTGTACACACAGTCTCCAGGCTGTCATTATGTGCACACACAAACCCTGGGCTGTCAGAATGTGTACACACAGATCCCCCAACTGGCAGTTTGTGGGCGCACAGTTCTTAGATTTTTCAAAGTGTGTCCACAGCATCTGAGTTGCCAGAAGACGTACACATTTTCTCCAGGCTATTGGTCAAGAGTGTGTGTGTTTATGTACTCATACACCCAGGGCTGTCAGAGTGTGTGTATATACACGTGCCCAGGTCTGTGATATACACACAGAACAGGGCTGTCAGAGTGTGTGTATATACACATGCCTGAAGCTGTCAGAGTGTGTGTATATACACATGCCTAGGGCCATCACAGTGTGTGTATATACACTACACCCCGGGCTGTCAGAGTGTGTGTATGTACACATGCCTGAAGCTGTCAGAATGTGTGTATATACACATGCCTAGGGCCATCACAGTGTGTGTATATACACATGCCTAGGGCCATCACAGTGTGTGTATATACACTACACCCAGGTCTGTCAGAATGTGTGTATATACACAGAGAGCAGGGCTGTCAGAGTGTGTGTATATACACATGCCTAGTGCTGTCAGAGTGTGTGTATATACACATGCCCAGGTCTGTCAAGGAGTGTGTATATACACATTTCCAGGTCTGTCAAGGTGTGTGTATATACACATAGAGCAGGCCTGTCAGAGTGTGTGTATATACACACAGAGCAGGGCCATCACAGTGTGTGTATATACACAGAGAGCAGGGCTGTCAGAGTGTGTGTATATACATAGAGAGCAGGGCCATCAGAGTGTGTGCATATACACACACAGAGCAGGGCTGTCGGCGTGTGTATATACATATGCCCAGGTCTGTCAGAGTGTGTGTGTATACACACAGAGTAGGGCTGTCAGAGTGTGTGTGTATATATACACAGAGCAGGACTATCAGAGTGTGTGTATATGCGCATGCCTAGGGCCATCAGAGTGTGTGTATATACACAAAGAGCAGGGCCATCAGAGTGTGTGTATATACACATGCCCAGGGCCATCAGAGTGTGTGTATATACACAGACAGAGCAGGGCTGTCAGAGTGTGTTGTGTATACACAGACAGAGCAGGGCTGTCAGAGTGTGTGTGTATATGTACACAGAGCAGGGCTGTCACAGTGTGTGTGTATACGCATGCCTCGGGCCATCAGAGTGTGTGTATATACACAGATAGAGCAGGGCTGTCAGAGTGTGTTGTATATACACGGACAAAGCAGGTTTGTCAGAGCACATACACACAGTGTCTGAGCTGTCAGAGGTGTGCAGAAAGTCTCCAGGCTGTCAGTGTGCATGTACACATGCACAGGGCTATCAGACTGTATACACACAGAGGGACACTAACAGCCCACTGTCTGTGTGGCTATCAGGCTGTGAATATAACTGGTTTGAATTGAAGAGAGGGGGCTGGTGGTTGCAATCAGAAAGGGTTTCTGAATTAGTTTCCAGTTTGTCAACTGCTGATAGTGACAGACTTGGTTCATGTTCAGTTAATTTCAGATTCACACTGCCCTTCTCAAAGGAGGGGCAATGAATACAGGCCTTGCCAGCAATGCACACATCTCACAAACAAATAGAAAAATAATGTGGCGACCAGGACATTTAATTGCATTGAAGCTGCTATGGAAATGCACATTGTTGTAATGCATGACTTCTCCACCTACTCCTGATTTTTCTCCCACTCTCAGACCTTCCCTCTCATTATGACCCTCCTCTTTCTCTGCCCCCCCCATTGTGCTCTCAGCCCCCTCCACTCTCACTATATGTCCCTTGCTGTCCCTCTTGCCCTCACTCAGCCACTTCTCTCTGCTACTCCCCCTTCCCACTGCAACCCCCACTTAAACCATCTCCTTCTCTTTGCCCCTTTAAGCCACTCTCCCCATCTTTCTCCCTCACACAGCCTCTCCCTCCTCTGTTCTTTCCTCTCTCTGTTTTCCCCTCAGCCACTTCCTCTCTCTCCCTTCACCCCTTATCCCCCTCTACCCTTCCCTTGCTGTCTCTCCCAATCCTCTCTGTCTCAGCCCCACTCGATCTGCTCAGACACTGTCACTTACTGCATGCAGTTTCCACAATAATTGTCTATAGTGTATGATTCAAAACTGTATTCATTTTTCAATGTATCTGTTCTCACAATGTGCAGCAGTTGCTGAGTCTTTTAAGTAGGTTTAAACAACTCTAGCCGAGTCCAGCTATAAAGTTTATGCTGACATTTCCCCTGCTTTATCTCATTAAATCAAAGTTAAAATAATAACTATCCATTCATTGTCAAAAGCAGGTATAGTTGTCCCGGGGTCTATTTTACATGTGATCTATTTAATCTCTCAAGGAGCCCCTGTCTATCTCATTGGAACCCCTAGGGTTAACATGATCACTGATCAAACGTCTATTTCCTCTCTTATAGTTGCGCACTGAGGAGACTGTGGCCGTGATGTAATATCGAAAGGATGGAGTGCTCTTGGAAAACTATCCTTCTCCTGGTCTGTGCCTCCCTAGGCATTCAGTACACAGCTATCCGATCCCTGACTACTAGCATCAACTCCCACTGTCCTGACACACAGCCTGGGAAACACTGTCACTCTCAGCAGAGAGGTAAATATGTGGGATTGGGGAACGGAATAGTGGAGAATTGGGAATAAGTAATAAGGAATGAGAACTGGGGAATTGGTGGCAGGGAAGAGGGCATTATGAACAGGAATTGAGAGGGAGGAAAGGGAATGGGAATGGTTAATTGAGAATTAAAAATGGGAGTGAAGACTGAGGATTGGGAATGTCTGTTGGGGAAGGGGGAGTGGGAGTGGGGAATAAGGATTGGAAGTGGGGAACTGGAATGCAGAATCAGGAGTGGAGCTGTTAGAAGTCTGTGGGAGTGCCAGTGAATGGGGTTTGCATTCAGCTTTCTCTTCATTGACCAACTCGGAGCTGAACCTGTTGGATGTGGTCATGTCTGTGGCTGGAAAGAATAGAATACAATCGTCTGGTTTGTGCCAGTAACTTCTGGTTGAGATTTGATACAGGTTAGGGAGGTCACAAATCTATCTAAATAATTAGGTTAGTCACAGATCAGTGTCAAGATGTGGAGGTGCTGGTGTTGGACTGGGGTGGACAAAGTCAGAAGTCACACGACACCAGGTTATAGTCCAACAGGTTTATTTGAAATCACAAGCTTTTGGACCACTGCTCCTTCATCAGGTGAAGGACTTCACCTGATGAAGGAGCAGCGCTTCGAAAGCTTGCAATTTCAATTAAACCTGTTGGACTATAACCTGGTGTTGTGTGACTTCTGACAGAGATCAATGTCAACAAATATTTGTCATCAATGAAGGCACTCATAGGGAATAAGGTCCTGGGGTTAGTTAGTCCCTCATCAAACATATGAGCAAATTAACTTGCTGACTATGCATGATGTGCTTCGTGGAGTTGACTTTCACTATCAACTCAAAAAGCTACTTTCTAAATATACATTTTTAACAGTGAGTTGTTAATAACTGGGTGGACTGCCTGTAAGGGCAGCGGAAGCAGATTTAATAGTTAACTTTCAAAGGCTTATTAGATAAATAGTATCATAGAATGAGCCAAAACAAAAGGAGGCCATTCAGGCCATTGTACTGTTGGCTCTGAAAGAACTATTTTGTCAATTCCACTCCCTTCGTTACTTTCTCATTATCTTTTAAGTTTGTTTAATTTACTGTTCCAGTGGAAAAAGATAAGTTTTGAGTTTTCTTCCCTAAATACAATCTCTCACTGGTACCGTTAGAGTGAACCCTCACTCATTCATTCAGCATGCTTCAGGGCTCTCAAACACCTTCCTACAGTCAGCATATTTGTACCTTGATGAATCACTGATGGCGATCACATTGAGGGGTTAAATGATAAAAGGTTTCAAGAGGGTTAGATAGAGATATACTGTTACTTTTGGTGCAGGGTTAGACTAAGACCATTCACGGTGATGACCGGAATCAATTGTTCACACAAAAGGTTATGGAAATTTGGGACTCAGTCCATGCCTCCCTTGTCCTCCTCCTCACCCCTCTCCAAAAGTTCCTGAGGTCAGTTTTCTAATTTCAAAATGTTATTGTTCTGAATTATCTTTACATCTAGAGAAGGACGAGAAAAAATATTTTTTTATTTGTACCTGGAGCATGGGCACTGCTGTCTAGCCCAGCATCTACTTGCCCAAGCCTATTTTTCCTGGAGAGGATGGTGGTGAGCCTCCTTCGTGAATCACTGTGGCCCTGGGACTCCCATTGCAGCAATAGAGAGGGAGTTCTGGGACTTTAACCCAGCAACAGTGAAGAAATGGTTGATAATGTTCCAGGTCAGGATGGTGAGTGGCTTTGAGGGGGACTTGAAGATGGTAGTGTTTCCATGTGTCTACTGCTCTTGTCCTTCCAAATACTTGTGGTCATGGGTTAGGAAAGTGCTGTAGGAGGAATCTTAGTAGATGGTTCACACTGCAGCAATGGTGGATCAGTGATTGAGGGAATGAATGTTGACGGTAGTGGAAGTGTTGCTAATCAAACGGCTGGATTGTGTTGAGCTGCTTGAGTGTTGTTGAAACTGCACTCATCCTGTTAATTGAAAACTAGTTAATCACATTCCTGTCTTCTACTTTATACATGTGGAAAGGTTTTTGGTGTCAGGAGATGAGATACTCACCTCAGAACTCACAGCTTCTGACCTTCTCTTGTAGCCACTGTATTTATATGGCTGGTCCAGTTCAGTTTCTGACCACTGGTAACACCACGATCTCGAAAGTGGATTCAGTGATGATAATGCTGTTGAACATCAAAGTCCTGTTTTATATTTAGGATTTCAGTAAATGTCAGTTGATAAAATAATGCAGCAATTTAATAAACCCTTTTACAAGTCCCATGACAACAAAATGATTAATGTTTTTTTCTAGCAATCATTGGTAATTACCTTATAATTTGGCGAGTTCCAGTTATGGGTAATGCAATATCCAGTAATGAGTACATGCTTTTATAAAATGTCACACAAGATGTGAGGCTGTATTTTTCAAATTTGAAACTCTGAAGTTAGCAAAACATAACCATCTGTAGAGGGGCTAACTGAGAATCTAAATAAGGCCTCAAACCAATAAAGAGATTATAGGAAGCGGATGTAAAGAGTGAAGATTACAAATAAATCCCAATTCCAAAGCATATTTGAATATTTAAAGCTGCTTGCTGTTAACTGAAGAAATCTGTAAATGGTATCTATATATATAATATATAAAAACATATATATTATATGTATATATTAATATCAATTATGGAATTTGGATTTCAAAATGGGGGCAGATTTATAAATGGTTTTCTGTTAAAAACAAAATCAAGGTCTCGGAAGGAATAGTGATAAAATTCAGCCTTTTGTCAGAAAGCAAGTGACTACAGAGCCCCAAGGTCTTAATCAAAAATTGTTTATGATATAAAGATGTGTGATATAAAGATGCATGGCCATCACCATTGTTTTCAGTTCGGAAGAATCAAGGTTTGAGTACATTTCAAAAATCTGTTCAGAAGGTACCAGAGTTGAGTTCAGAAGTAAGTTCATTTTCTCTCCTGGAAAGAGCTCAGGGCAGACCAGGGAACATGTCACCTCAGCAGAAAAATTAGTTTGTGAAACTTCCAAACCAGGAGAGTTTGGCTAGAAACCTGCAGGTTATTGAAGTGGGAAAGTTTTGGCTCTTAGATTTGAGAAAAGTTCATGTCGTGATACTGAGAAAGGACTCTTTGAATTGTCTCCAAAGTCCACAGCAAAGAAATTGTCAGGATTTAGTTAAACAGAAACTTAAGGAGTTGAGATTGGGGTTGTAATTTTTCTGGACTTGAGTCTTTATAATGGTTAATGTTGAGAAGCAGGTTGAAACTTTGATTTGCTGTGTATTTTAGATATTTCTAGCTGTCTTCTATATTTAGTTAGAGTGGTTTTCTTTCATTCTTTTGTGTAATGTTCTGCTGATAGAGAAAATGTGCAGCCTCACATATATATGATTCAGTGACTAACCACCACTTTAACTAACTAAGCAAAAAAAAGCCTTGCAAATCTGTTCCCCCTTGGTACTGAACAGCAGAGCAGGCAGAGGATCTGAGCAACCTAATCCAATCTTAATTTGTATGCTCGTAGTTCGCAATTTCCCTTTGAATATTGCTGTTGAACCTGCTTCCACTATCCTTTCAGAGGTTATAGAAAGTGAGTAATTTACGACCATCACCATGATGGAAAAAGCACTGAGCAAACTATTGGGATTGAAGTCCCCAGGGCCTGTTGCCCTACATCCTAGGGTTTTAAAGGAAGTGGCAGCAGTGATAGGGGACCCATTGCTTATAATATTCCAAAACTCCAATGGCACAGGAAAGGTTCCCAGTGGATTGAAAAAATGCTAATATAACAGCCTTATTTAAAATGGGAGTGAGGCAGAAAGTAGGAGACTACAAACCAGTTAGTTTGACATATGACATTGCAAAATCATTAGAATCCATTACTAAGGAAGTAAGAACAGGACATTTGAAAAGTCAAAATACAAGCTAATAGTGTCAGCATGGTTTTATAAGGGGTGAATCATTTTTGACTATTTGCTAGAGTTCTTTGAAGATGTAACAAGCAATGTGAATAATGGGGATCCTGTAAATATAGCATATCTGGACTTCTAGAAGCATTTGATAAGCTGCCGCATAAAAGGTTAATACACAAGAGTAGATCACATGGGGTTAGAGGCAGTTTATTAGTTTGGATAGAGGATTGGCTTACCAACAGAAAGCAGAGAGTTGGGATAAATGGGTCTTTTTCTGGTTAGCAAGTTGTAACTAGATGGGGGAGGCGTGGCCCACAGGGTTCAGTCCTCAGGCCTCAACTATTTTCAATCTACATTCATGACTGGGATGTAGAGATAGAAAGTACTATAGCCAAATTTACAGATGACACTAAAATAGGTGGTAAAGTAAACTGCAGTGAATAAATAAGAAATTTACCAATGGATATGGATAGGCCAGGTGAATTGGCCAAAATTTGGCAGATGAAGTTTAGCATGGATAACTAAGGGGTTATTCATTTTGGTCAGAGGAATAGAAAGGTAACTTATTGTTTAAATGGAGAGAAACTTCAGGGTACTTTGGTGCAGAGGGATGTGAGTGTCCTCATGCATGAATCACAAAAAACTAGTATGCAGGCCCAGCAGGGAATAAGGAAGGCAAATGGAATTTTAACATTTATTGCTAGAGGAATAGAATACAAAAGTAGGGAATTGCAACTGTACAAAGCATTAGTGAGACTGCACCTGGAGTATTGTGCACAGTTTTAGCCTTACTTGAGAAGGGATGTATTAGTTACATTAGAGACAGTTCACAGGAGGTTCACTAGATTGATTTCAGAGATGAGAGATTGTCTTATGAAGCAAGATTTAGAGCTATACTCTCTGGAGTTTTGAAGAGCGAGAGGAGAGCTAAATGAGATATATAAGATGACAAAGGGGATTGACAAAGTAGATGCAGAAAGGATGTTTCCTCGTGTGGGTCAATCAAGAACAAGAGGTCATAGTTATAGACTAAGAGGTAGCAGATTTAAAAGAAAGATGAGGAGAAATTACTTCT